AAAAAAAGTACAAAACACCCAGCCACAAAGGTACGTGTAAAACAGCCCCTTTATTGATGTAATAGAAGAGTGTTTAAGTTTACAGAACTCCACTTGAATGAGAGGAGAATTGAGAGAATTTGACACAGTTGCACAAACCTCAGACTTCTTTTCAGGTTGTATAACATAGAAGAATTTTCAAAGTGTCTACATAAAATGTGCACAAACATAACTCCACTTCAATGGGAGGACACCTCTCATTGAGAGAATTTGACACAGTTGCGCAAACCTCAGCCTTCTCTTCGGGTTGTGTAACATAGCAGAATTTTCCAAAGTGTCTACATAAAATGCACACAAATCCCCATTGTAAGATGTCACCATCTTTTTACATAGTTAAGTACTCATCTCAAACACACCTATCAACCCATGATTGTAGTATCTCTGTAAATTCATATAATATCCACTGAAAACTTAATATGCGCTTTGCAAGTGCGACACAGACACTGTACATCCTAGTAATACTTGACTACAAATGAATAAAGGCTGATAGTTTCTAAAGAAACTGTTTGGGGCTGCGTCGGTGGGGGGTAACAAAATAATTTGAATAATTATATCAACAAAGTTGAAATGGTAAATTGGCCACCGTTACGATTATAAAAGCTGACATTTCGAGCGTTAGCCCTTCATCATTCGCTCCGACAAAGGGCTAACGTTCGAAACGTCAGCTTTTATAATCGTAACGGTGGCCAATTTACCATTTCAACTTTGTTGATATATTCAAATTATAATATTTGACTACTTACACTAGGCTTGTAATGTCAAATTTCTTTCATTTTCAGATTTATATATTATATAATTCTCCATTAAAACCTGTGTTATCTACATGCTGAATTCTTGATCCTAAACATTGTAATCAGGGGGCTTTGCCTGTAGCTGTCGCTTAGTAGTTTGATATAATACAAAGGCAGCAACTGCCAGGTGGAAGAGAATTTGCCAGATGTTTCGAAGGCTTCGTAGCAGATAAATCAAAAGGAGAAGCAGGGCAAATAATAATCTGGTCAGTGGCATCCTCCATCTGACAGAAAACAATAGGAGCTGAAGCTGAGAGAGAAAAATAAATACAAATAAATGAACATTCAATCCAGCTGAACTTATCCAATATCTACAAATGATCAAAATAAGCATGAAGTGGTTTACATGTACATGTGGATTATCAAGGTATAAGAGACAGACAGACAGACAGACAGACAGAGAGACAGACAGACAGACAGAGAGACAGACAGACAGACAGACAGACAGAGAGACAAGAGGCACAAGGAAAAACTGACTTGTACTGACAGACAAACAGCCAGACTCAGATTAACTCATTGTCTGACAAACAGATGAGCAGACTGACAGGCACACTGAAACTACATGTGGACAATAATTACACAAACAAGGGGACTGAAGCAAAAAGGAAGACAGACATAGGAGAAAAGTTGTTACATGTGCATGTAATTTTTTGATGCAAAACTTGTCCTTCTTTCATAATGGTCAGAAAATATTCGCTCCCAGTAACATCACTGAGCAGTTTTATCAACTGTAAATGTGTAAATTAAGTCGCCGTTAAGAGTCCCTAGGAACATTCACTGATGAGCACCACAGTTCCTTCAGAAGCTTACTCCCCTTTATCAATTTTAGAGGCAAGCAGACCATTATCAAACAAAAAATAAAAAGAAAGGGAAAAAGGAAAGAAAGGGATTACAAACCTGGCAACAGTTCAAAACACCAGCAAGGAAAAACCCAACAGCCGAGAACCAAGTATCATTAGCCTGTATGTTTGGTAAAAGTACAATGTATTGAAGAATGACAATAACAAGTTCATTGTCAAGGGAGAATACACAGGCAAATCTACAGTATGTGGCAAAAATTTATGACAGATGCACCCCTCTGTTGGGACATCCTCCATTTGAGATAAAACCTTATGCCCCAACTGAAGCCATGCTTACTTGGCTCTGTCACCTTCTATTCTGAGGATGCTTTTTTTAATCCTGAGTGTTAACCCATTAGGTGGGGGCGGGGGGCATACAAACAAACCCTTTATCTGTTGTCTCTGTTGGAAATACAATGCTACCTTGAGGAAATTTTTATTCCCCCCTCCCCCCTGCCATGTTCCCTTATTGGAGGCTAAATAAAACCTTTTATTTTATTTCCTTCATTAATAGGACTCATCTATCACTGAGGTAGTTTTTCTAGCCCTGACACTGTCCCCTGAAAAGAGCTGCAATGTAGTGCAGTACATTCTACCTACAAAAGGTGTGATGGAGTGAACTTTTCACAAATCCCAAATACCTACAGTGTAATTACATGTCTATCTAACCTAAGGTTGCTAACAACATCACACTATCTCAGAGATTTCATCAACTTTTTTTACCAATTGTGACTGACAATTGAGGAATAGCTAGCTCTGACCATGACTGGGGACGCACAAATCTCTCAAAGAAAACCTTTACAGAAGACACAGAAAGACACCTTGCAAGTTCTTGGAAGCAACACAAGGTGGACAGTGAGCAGATCTAATTGAAACCTCTGTTATCCTGTTTGTGAGAGGTTATTATGATCACAGAGAAACAAAAAAATAAGCATCATTTACTCACTTCATCATCAAGTACTATAACATTTAAAAATGGCAAACATCTAAGAAAGTTCAGAAGTCCACAAATTCCTGCTAAAACACAGGCAGTGAGACTTTTCCATGTCAAGGGTTCAAGATGTCTTGCTGGGCCTGAAAGAAAATTCATGGACCGATGTTTTTAATCCATGTCATGTATGTCGACCTTGCATTAACAACAATATTTTTCTTTCTACTTTGTCTGATACAAGTTTTCACAACACAGACATGTCCGACTAGTAAAGCAGTTAGCAGATGTTCCATTAAAACTTAATACAATAGGTTAGTTTAGTAAAGCAAATGTGTACATGTTACTTTGAAGGTCTCGAGGATCTCCTCATCCTGGTGAGGAAAGGGTTCCCCCAATACTGGCATTCAGTTAATACTGGCATTCAGTTAATACTGGTATTTAGATTTTTCCCCCAATACTGGCATTCAGTTAATACTGGTATTTAGATTAATTACATAGGCTGCTTCATTTAAAACACCCTTTGCTAACTCGAAAAAAAAAAAAAGAATAAATATTGGATATATCAACAAAGTTGAAATGGTAAAATTGGCCACCGTAACAATTACAAAAGCTGACGTTTCGAGCGTTAGCCCTTCGTCGGAGCGAAGGTAAGTTCCTGTTACCTGACTGGTTCACTGCATTGCCTACCGACTTCCAACTGACTGTCTNTAGCTCCTTTTTCTGCCTTTAGAAGCACACACAACCCACAATTCCCCTATTCGCTCCCACGAGGGGCTAACGCTTGAAACGTCAGCTTTCATAATCGTAACAGTGGCCAATTTACCATTTCACCCTTGTTGATATATTCAAATTATTTCGTTATCCCCACCGACACAGCCCCAAATAGTTTCTTTAGAAACTATCAGCCTTTAGACTAACAATGGATAGTCACTCAGTCATTCACTTATTTAATAGTAATTTCTTAACCCAATATGCAATTCAGGTGACCTGAACATTCCTGTTCAGAACATAATTAAGTACTTGATCGATAAATGTCGCATCCTTCATTTCTTAACACTTTGACTCCTAAGAGTGACCAGCATGTAATTTCTCCTTACAATATCACCCCTGAATCACACATAAAGGTCAGGAGAATAAAGGAAATGATCAACAACTAAAGGAGCTCTTGATTGTTAGACAAATTCTCCTTGTCAGCTCCTCAGGAAATGTATAAAGAACAGTATGGAGAATATGCACACTGATGTTACGGCATAAGGGCTCATCAACAACAGATTAAAGTTATTAATTTAGGATTTTAATCATTCCAATTTCTGTACTGTTGGTCCTTCTCAAGTTTAATAATTACCTGATGCCTGGTGTTTTAAGGCATGCTCTATCTGAATACTTCTTAAACATTAACATATCATAATTATGTTATACACTGCAACTCACAAAATCTCATCAATTAGCGAATATCGCTCACCAAATTCTATGAATGAATATGGTCTCTTTGCTCTTTGAACATCTTGACTTTGAAATGTCATCACAAACTCTCGCTGAAGCTCTTCAAGGAAACAGAAAACCAAAACAGCAGGATAGGTTCCTTCACAGACAGCCAAGAAACAAACCCCAACAGCCTTCACAAAGCTAAAATATAAAAAAATAAACAGCACTAAAAAAACTTTTCATTTACAAATTAATGGACCTATATTTTTTCCAGTGAGACTACTTCCTCGATCCTCACTTTAAAATTTAAGCATTGTACTGAACCCTTTCAGCCCCAAGAATGACCAGCACCTAATTTCTCCTTACAATACCTCCCCTGAATCACAAATTGAAGTCACGAGAATCAAGAAAATGATCACCAACTAAAAAAGCTCTGGATTAATAAACAAATTCTCCTTGTCAGCAACTTAGGAAAAGTATAGAGAACAGTTTGGAGATTTATGCATACTGATCTAATGAAAAGGGTTAATGTTGAACATCCCTCCACTCTGCACTGGTTTACCTGAAGCTGGGGACTGTATATAAATAGTAAGGTACATGCAACCTAATGTACAGATTACCTTAACCTAGCAAGCCCCCTAGCTAAAAGTTGGTTTCTGTACTAAATTTCCAGTTTTTTTTTTTTTTTTTTTCAAGGAATGCACCGATTGTATCTTTTTTGACACAACAGGAATCAATTTTATGAAAAATCACCCTTATACCCATGTGTTGCAACATTAAGATTTGATATTTGAAAATCAGTAGTTGCAAAGGTAGAATGAAAAAAAAAAAGCTGATTCCCCTTTTCAGATACTTTTAGGGAGTGTGTTCAAATACAATTGAAAAATTCTCTGTGTTCAGTTAATCTGCTTAAGTATTTTGACTCGCTAACAGTACCAAGTATGAGTATTGCTAATAATCATTATATAAAATGTGAGTCCACAAAAGGCACATGTAACCCTCCATCACATTTCCCTCCATCACATTTCCCTCCTGCCTATTTATAATTAACAATTATTTGCCTCAGGTTCTGTGAATATTGTTGAATAATCCCCTCGACTTCGTCTCGGGGATTATTCGACAATATTCACTGAACCTGAGGTAAATAATTTTTTTAGTATATAATTTCAGAGCTGAAAAACAGAGAAATTTCGAAAATCATAACATTTTAGTAACATTTATTAAGTAACATTTTATTTGAACATTTTATATAACCGGATGGAGCGGTTTATATAGTGTCATATAAGGAATCGCTGGACCAATCAGATTGCTGGAAACTCTTTGCTCAGCTCTGAAATTATACTTAATAATCCTAGATAGGAGGTAAATACACAAAGGAGCACTCTTAGAGTAAAGTATCCTCCTCAAGAACACAAAACCATGACCTACACAACCATGACCTCAATACTACTGCATATGGCTTGCACTCTTTATCTTACTATGGTAGCAAACTATGGAACTCCCTCCCTCACATGACCAGGTCACTGCCAACAATTGCAGCTTTTAAATCAGCTATTCGTAATTTCAAATTTGACACCGACTGCTGTCCATTCTGCAAAGGGTTGTAAATGTTTATCCCATTGTATCAAATACTGAATTGTATATATTGTGTCTTATGTATTTATCTTATTCTCCATTTCTATTTCATTTTATTCATTTATTTATTTATTTTCTCAGAGATATGGGCATTTTTTTTTTTGCTACTGGTATTTTAAATTAGAGATGAAATAAAGGCTTGTTGTTGTTGTTGTTACAATTAGCCTGGGTTTGTTCCATTCGATTAAAAAGGGGAAAAACTACAGAATACAGGGCTTTTTATTTACATCTCATTGGGTAACAAAACATCTCTTTGTAGTCTGCCTCGTTCTTCAAAGCATGACAACAAGGTGCACCTAAGTTACCCTGTATTCTGCTTGTAGTTGCTCCATAAAAATGATAACGATTATGAATGTGACGGCCACTCAGTGTTCAACTTATATTTCTAAACAGCTAAAATTTAAAAAAACAAACACAAAAAAGAGAAACGTCTCCGTAATTCAACCAAAAAGCATCAGATAACCATGATACTGTTTTTTTACAAATTACTACCCTGATCATGGTCAACTGATTAACAGAACCATTGTGAACAGCAGATGATGTCTTAAAGCTACCGATTACCTTAAATTGTGTAATTCATTCGTTTCGATTAAGAATTCACAACTTTCCTCGTCTTATGCTGGGCGACATGCATGTTCTTTTCTTACAGTACTTACATGTATTCATCGTACTAGCAACTTACTATATCATATGTTTTCCACATTGCATGGCACATCTAGTAGGATACTTATTGGCTTTCCTCGCTAAACTTTTGCCGAGCTTCTTGCTTTCTTTAAGCTCAAAATGCATGTCGAGGTCGGTGGAAGCCGACAAAGGCATTCCATCTGAAACACGCGTAATCATCGCGAACAGAACCATTGTGAACAGCAGATGATGTCTT